CCATCCCAGCTCAAGGTGGACTCAGCCTTCCATCTTTCCAAGGTGGGTAAAACGAAGACCCAGATTGTTGGGGGCAAGTGGCTGATTCTGTAAACCGCTTAGAGAGGGCTGTAAAAGCGATATATAAGTTTAAGTGGTATTGCTATATGCAGCCTTAAATTATGAGAAGCCCTTTCACCAATGATTCCCAATCTTGAAAAGATTGTGAAGTGGTATATAAGTCTAAGTGCTATTGCCCCTCCCTCCCTCTCTCCCTTCCTTCTCAGTGGTTACAATGCAGTACTGCAGGCTACTTCTGCTGACTGCCGGCTGCCTGCAATTTGGCAGATTGAATCCCACCAGGCTCCAGGTGGACTCAAGTTTCTCTCCTTCCGAGGTGGGTGAAATGAGGACCCAGATTGTTGAGGGCAAGAGGCTGACCCTATCCACTGCTTAGAAAGGGCTGCAAAACACTATAAAGCAGTTTATAAGTCTAAGCGCTATTGCTAGAAGTAAGGAGAAATTTCCTAACGGTAAGAGCAAATAACCACCGGGACAGCTTGTCTCCAAAAGTTCTGGGTGTTCCATCAGTGGAGGTCTTCAAAAAGAGAACCACTTGACCGAGATGAGGTCTCCCACCTTGAGCACACTTGACCGAGATGAGGTCTCCCACCTTGAGCACACTTGACCGTGATGAGGTCTCCCACCTTGAGCACAGGGTTGGACTAGAAGACCTCCAAAGCCCCTTCCAGCCCTAGGTCGCTACGTTCCCTGCTCTTTTCACCCCATACCGTGGAGTAGGTGCAGTAATCACTCCCTTTGCTGTCCAGGAGAACGGAGTCCTTGATGAAGATGGCAATGGCCTTCAAGATGAAAGTCACGAAAAGGTGGACATGGATGTAGTTCCTTGAGCAACGGAGTCGCCTGCCGGAAGAGAGGAGATATGGTAGGCTGAAAGGAATCCATAAGGGCCAATCCAACTTATGACAGGAGTCTCCAACCATGGAGAAGTTTAAGCCTGGAGGACTTCAACTCCCAGAATTCCCCAGCCAGCAAAGCTTTCGTGCCCCGGTTGTTAAGTGAATCGATGAAGTTGTTAAGTGAGTCATGTGGATTGTTAAGGGAAGCTGGCTTCCCCCTTCACTTTGCCTGTCAAAACGTTGCAAAGGGGGGGTCTGTGGTCTTCTTAAATATTAACCAGTGGCCAAGCCACCAAATTTTGATCACGTGACCATGGGGAAGCTACAATGGTCGTAAGTGTGGAAAACAGCCGTAAGCCCCCTTTTTTCAGTGCCGTTGTAAGTTTGAATGGTCACTAAATGAAATGGCTGTAAGTTGAGGACTACCTGTATTAGCTCCTTGGAAGAAGCAAAGAAGTACATTTATTGCACTAAAGTTTTAAAGGTAGAACTTTCATGCAATAAGTATGTTTGTCAAGAAATAATGATGGCTGTGGAGAAAGCTGGAATTGTGGGTAGTTACACCCTGAGCATCTGAGGGAGTCGAACTTGACCCTAAGTGAAGGAATACCTGTATTCACCTGCACCATGGAAATAATAAGTGCATGGCTCAGCTCCACAGATTTGTTGCAGTAAGCACAACAAACCTGTTTTGAAACCCTGCGCAATGCATGCACAACACACAACTGAAATGGGTTGAGAGGGAGATATATTTCCTCGGGTGATGCATATGAAACTCATGAGAGCCAGTTTGGTCTCGTGGTTAAAGCCCCGGGGTAGAAACTAGGAGATTGTGACTTCTAGTCCTGCCTTAAGCACAAAAGCTGGCTGGATGACTTTGGGCCAATCACCAGCAGACAGTGAGTCCCGCCTTAGCCATGAAAGCCAGCTAGGGAACTTTGGGCCAAATCACCAGGTAACGGTGAGTTCTAGTCTCACCTTAGGCTTTAAAGCCAGCTGGATGACTTTGGGTCAATCACCAGGAGACGGTGAGTTCTAGTCCCACCTTAGGTATAAAAGCCAGCTGGGTGACTTTGAGCCAATCACCAAGAGGCAGTAAATTCTAGTTTATGCTTTAGGCATAAAAGCCAGCTGAATAATCTTGGGCCAACCACTAGGAGGTGGTGAGTTCTAGTCCCACTTTAGGCATAAAAGCCAGCGGGTGACTTTGGGCCAATCACTAGGAGACAGTGAGTTCTAGTCCCTCCTTTAAGCATGAAAACTAGCTGGGTGATTTTGAGCTGATCTCTCAATCAGGCCACGTCACAGGGTTGTTTTGGGGAAAATAAGAGGGGAAAAGTGTATAAATATGTTCACTGTTTTGAGTTATTTGTAAAAACAGTGAAGGCTTGAAAAAATATAAAAACGACAACAACATGATGAAGATCTTATGAGACTTTCAAATACAAGCGGATCACTATTTGGAACACAACATGCCAGATATTACAGTTGTTGAAACGTATAATTTGTTCATATCGCTGTACCAGGAAACGCCAGAGTCGAAGAAAAAGAACACCAGGAATAATCATGCAATCTTGCGACCTGGCCATCGAAACTACCTGGTTATGGATGAAACATGTAACAGTGATACCCGTTGTCACCGGGGCACTTGATACCATGTCCAAGAATTTTACAAAACACAGAAATTGCACCTTCCTGCAATATAACACCAGCGGAACTGCAAAAGATTGCGCTACTCGGAACATTGTATATTTTAAGAAAATACTTGATTGACAACTTGGACGCTGGCAGCCACCTGTATCAACCATTAGCACCAGTCACTGGTATTTGTGATACCTTTTTGAATGTTCAATCGACCAAGTTTCATGTTTAATGAATAAAAGAGATAACCACAACAACAATAGTGAGGGGGATGAAAATATTGTCCTGCGTTCTACTTCCAGGATCCTGTAAACATGCCTACCGGAGGTGGTCTTCAACAAGTTCTGACCAGTTCTGGAGAGGAGGTTTTGAGTAGTTCGGAGAACAGGCAAATACCACCTGTGACTGAGGATTTTACAGTACCCTTCCCCTGCCACACCCACCAAGCCACAGAACCAGTAGTAAAAATAAAATTGAATTCCACCACTGATACCTACCTGAAGGCCAAGAGGATAAAGATTGCCACGGTCAGAGTGGTAGATGAAATGCTGTAACCCACCGTATAGATGGTTTGGATCGTTGAAAAGAAAGAAATCTGGAATGAAGAGCAAACCAAATATCCATCTGCGCTTTTGAAACAGATACCCGGATTCTATCCTATAAGGACCGAGAATATTGCTTAAAATCCTTCCCTCCCTGGCCTACCTCAAAGGGCTGGCCTCAATCCTGAAAGCCTGTCCAAATGTTCCCTGTCCCTCCTAGGCTGAATGAAATCAAGACGGGGGTTGAGTCTTGAGTTCCCTTCTCACGCTTCTCTCTTTCTCTAAATCCAAATTGTGTGTCCTCCAAATCCCTTCTTAACACCTCATCCAGGCCTTTCTAACTGCTCAAGGTTAGCTCTGTTTTCTTTAACCGGGTGGAACGAGAGCCACAGAGAAATCCAGAAGGCGCCGTCATAAAGGAGAGGAAGATCTAGCCGTCCCCAAGTGGTATAGTCCGCTGTCAGGCCTTGCAAGTTGTGGTTGCGTGTTTGCAGTGCAGTGGATGTGCACAGCTGTCTCTTATATAAATGGAGCTGCATGTGTGAATGCATGTCCCTGCTTCTTGTACACAGCCACCACCCCCTCTCCCCCGACCCTCGTCAGTCCTCAAAGCTGGAAAGGTTGGATCCAGACCCCTGGGATAATCCCCTACTTTTCTCATCTGTAACTCCCACAGCAAAGAAGCTCAGAGAGCACCAAGGACCTCATAGTCCTCTCCTCCTCCTCCTCCTCCTCCTCCTCCTCCTCTCTGCAACCCACCCTGCCTTCTTCTATTGATGACGTTACTTAACTGGGTCATGAAGCATCTGCAAGCAAATAACCAAGCTCAGAGAACCCCAAGGACCCCACTGTTCAGCCCTGAGCAGGAGTGGGATTCTACCAGTTCGTACCTATTCGCTAGAACCAGTTGTTAACATTCTAAGCAGTTCGGAGAACCAGTTGTTAGAAGAAATTACTGGCCTAATCCTGTAAAGAAGGCAGGAAGGAAACATTCTGGTGTTGCTTAAAGAAACTGCCTGTCCATTAACCCTTTTTACATTCTTGGAAGGACTGGACTTCCTGTCTCAGGAACGTCTCTGGAGTTTTTTTTCCCTCCTTTGCTGGTACTTTGCTTGTGTGGCGTGACCATTCAAAGTTACAATGGCACTGAAAAAAGTGACTTATGGCCGTTTTTCACACTTTTGAGGCGAGGAGATGCATGCCTCGATGTGAGTGATATTGAGTTGGCCACACCCAGTCAGTCACATGATCACCAAGCCATGCCCACCAACTAAGCCACACCCACAGAACCGGTTGTTAAAAAAATTGAGTCCCATCCCTGGCCCTGAGCTACAAATATCCCCTTCTGCCAGTGATAAAAATGCAGGCATTTATCTCAGTTCATCCTTATTCAGGGGTGGAATTCATCCGGTTCGCACTGGTTTGGGAGAACCGGTTGTTACCTTCCTGAATCGTTTGGCGAACTGCTTGTTGGAAGAAATCATCAGGGCAGAGAACCGCTTGTTAAATTTATTTGAATCCCACCACCGTCCTGATAAGCCTTCTTCCTCCCCCCCTCCCTCCATCTCCCTCTTCAGGCTGTTGACGGCTTGATGGCGGATGCCCTACAATTTATGCCAGCGCAAAATAATGAGTACTCAGAAGATTGCCTGGCTGTGTCCAATGATTAAAGGAGGGCAGGGCCCCTCTGCGGTTCACGGAGGCATCGAAAGAGACTCTTCATTCAAACCCCCATCGAGGTCAAGCACCACTCAGAAGATTTGCGAAGGCCCGCTGTTCCCCGTTGAAAAGCGAGGAGGAGCGGAGGGGGAGCGGTTATCGCCGCCTCTCTCTCCGCCATTTGTCATGAAATAAATATGAGGTGATGTTCTGCTCGCCTTTGCAATTCTATTTCGCAGATGTGAATTGAAATCCTCACTTCAAGAGGACTTCACCGGCATCCTGAGTCCTCCGAGAAAAAGACGGATGCCAATTATTTTAACCCGCTTTGGAAAGGAAAAAATTAACAACAACAAAAACAAACAAACAGACCCAGGTAGCAGAATTTCTCCGCTCTATGGTAAAATACAGATCATCCTGAAATACAGATGACCACAAAGGAGTCCCAAATTTCTGTTGCTAAGTGAGGCAGTTCTTAAGTGAGCTGCGGCCATGGGGTTTTTGGGGGGACATAGAATAACAGAGTTGAAAGGGACCTTGGAAGTCATCTAGTCCAACCCCCCACTTAGGCAGGAGAGTCTATTCCATTTTGCACAGTTACTGGACAAATCATGCGGTCATTAAATGAATCTGTGGCTTCCCTCATTGATTTTGCTTGTGGGGTAGGAAGGTGACGAAGGGTGAGCACATGACCCTCAACTTACAACCACAAATTGAGCCCAAAGTTTCTGTTGCTAAGCGAGACAGTTGTTAAGTAAGTTTTGCCCCAATTTACGACCTGTCTTGCCACAGTTGATAAGTGAATCACTGCATTTGTTAATATAGTAAGATGGTTGTTAAGTGAATCTGGCTTTACTTGTCAGAAGATCATAAAAGCAGACCACGTGACCCCAGGACACTGCAACCGTCATAAGTACATGTCAGTTTCCAACCCTCTGAATTTTGATCATGTGACCATGGAGATGTTACAATGGTCGCAAGTGTGAAAAATAGTCACTTTTTTCACTGCTGTTGTAACTCTGAATAGTCACTAAACAAATGTTTGTAAGTCGAGGACTACCTGTAAATTGCAGATGAGAATAACCGAGAGGGTTTCTCCATCGTGATTCAGATCTCTGCTTTAATTGTTTAGGATTAGGGAAACACAGGAATATGTCCAGAGTTCATAGGAATTTTAATTTGTTGCTCAGTCACTGAAGTTTTGTTTGACTCTACCTAACAAAATTAAATTCAATGTAGAGAAAAGTAAAGTCCTACACTTAGGCAAGAAAAACCAAAAGTACCCATATAGACTGGGTGAAACCAGGCTCAATAGCAGGAAATGTGAGAGGAATCTTGGAGTCTTAGTGGACAACCAGCTAAATAGGAGCCAGCCGTGTGTAGCAGCAGCCAAAAAAGCTAATGCAATCCTAAATTGCATTAACAGAGGGATACAACCGAGATCAAGGGAAGTACTAATACCACTCTATCAGGGGTGGGATTCAAATTTTTTAACAACCAGTTCTGTGGCTGGTGGCTTAGGTGGTGGGCATGGCTTGGTGGTCATGTGACTGGTGGATGTGACTTGGTGGTCATGTTATTGGCTGGGCGTGGCCAACTCAATATCACTCACATCGAGACACGCAACTCCTCTCCTGGCCTCTCATGACTGGGTGGATGCTGCAACAGTCGTAAGTGTGAAAAATGGTCATAAGTCACGTTTTTCAGTGCCATTGTAACTTTGAATGGGCACTCCACACAAGCAAAGTACCAGCAAAGGAGGGGAAAAGAAACTCCAGAGACATTCCTGAGACAAGAAGTGTAGTCCTGCCAAGAATGTAAATAAGGGTTAATGGAGAGGCAGTTTCTGTAAGCAACACCAGAATGTTTCCTTCCTGCCTTCCTTACAGGATTAGGCCAGTAATTTCTTCTAACAACCAGTTCTCCGAACTGCTTAGAATGTTAACAACCAGTTCTAGAGAATAGGTCCAAACTGGTAGAAGCCCACCACTGCACTCTATAAAGCCTTAGTAAGATCACACCTAGAGTATTGCATCCAGTTTTGGTCACCACACTATAAAAAGATGTCGAGAATCAAGAAAAAGTACAGAGAAGAGCAACAAGGATGATGAGGGGACTGAGACTAAGGCATATGAAGAACAGTTACAGGAACTGGGCCTGGCTGGTCTAGTGAAGAGAAGGACCAGGGGAGACATGACAGCAGTCTTCCAATATTTGAGGAGCTGCCATAGAGAAGATGAGGGGATCAAGCTATTCCCCAAGGCACCCGAAGGCCAGAGAAGGAATAATGGATGAAAACTGAACAAGGAGAGATTCAACCTGGAAATAAAGAGAAATTTTCTGACAATTAGAACAAACAACCCATGGAACAGAAGTTGCCTTCAGAAGTTGTGGGAGCTTCATCACTGGAGGCTTTCAAGAAGAGGCTGGACTGCCCTCTGTCAGAAATGGTGCAGGGTCTCCTGCTTGGGCAGGGGGTTGGACTAGATGATCTATAAGGTCCTTTCCAATGCTGTTAATCTAATCTAATCTTCATGACCCATGGACCAGAGGTGGTCTTCAGCAGGTCCTGACCAGTTCTGGAGAATGGAAAATTATGAGTAGTTCTGGGAGTGGAAATTTTGAGTAGTTCAGAGAACCAGCCAACCCCACCTCTGATTGGTCCCACCAACCCCAGCTCTTCTCTGCCTCCCATTGAGTCCCAGCTGATTGGCTGGGTCTTCTTTGGTTGCCCTGCACAGGAGAACGGAGCTGGAAAGCAGGTTAATGGGATGGGGAGGGAAGGGAGATTTTGTAGTAACCTTCCCCTGCCACGTCCACCAAGCCAAACCACACCCACCAAGCCACGCCCACAGAACCAGTAGACAGATGGACAGATGAACGGATGGACAGATGGTTGATAGACTATAGATAGATGATAGATAGATAGATAGATAGATAGATAGATAGATAGATAGATAGATAGATAGAT